ACTAAAAGGAGAGCATCATTAAACATTTCTAAGATATCCCAGATATTACTGGTTTGAGATGTAGAAACCCCATCCTAAAAGTTGGGATGCTTTATAAAATGTTTCAAAAGATGTCATAAACCCACATTTTGTTCACAGCAGAACACATGTCAAATGTTTAAAGTGAGAAAATATACTATTATTAAAAAAAGAAAGAGGTAATTTAGAAATTGATGTCAGCAACACGTCTCAAAAACGTTGAGAGAGGGCCATGTTTACCACTTCTTTTATCAACAGTCTGCAAACATCTGGAACTGAGGAGACCAGCTGCTGGGCTCCTCAGTTCCTCTGTATCCTCTGTAGATGGATTGTTTTCATTTCCATCAAACAATCATTATTCTTAACATATTATAGATATCCATCTTGAGTTTTTTGAGCAGTGAATATAAATAATATAATAAAATATAAAATACATGAAATAATACATAATATATACCTAGACTTTAGAATTCAATTTCTTGCCCTTGTATTGAAAATGTCCCCAGTTCCAATAAGAAAAAAAAAAAAATTTCAGATCCCAACCTTGCCGTTATTAAACTTTGGATCACAAATGCTCTTCTTCTGTCCATTAGCAAATTTAACCGCCTCTATAAAATGATGGTACATCTCAATCTTCTTGTCACCAACCAGAGAGTTTGGCGTCAGCGAGAACCCTGCAGAAAAGACAGTGATAATCTTTTTAAGCTTTTGTGAACTAACAACTGTTTAACTGCTTCTTTAAATTGAAATTTCATCCAGCTATTACAGCGGCTTAGCCAAAAAGAAAATCACACAAAACACGACACCTTCCATGAGTTTGAGAATGAAGGCAAGCAGGGCGCCTCCAGCAGGGGGTGGAGGGATGTAGAGGTTAGCATCTCCCAAAGGAACAGTCCAAGCATCTTGGACCTGCACCTGGAATGACCTCAAATCCTCTATAGTCAAGGTCCCACCTGAGACAGACACACAGAACGTATATAACAAACTTTGCCCTAAATTAGATTCAATTTTTTTCACAACACTGAGTAAAAGTCATTTTTCCTTTCCATTTAATTCCTTTTCAAACACAAACCCTCAGGCTGCTAATGCTGACATTGCACCAACCTGCAGCTGTTATGTCTTGGATTAAGTCATGCCCTATCTTGCCAGAGTAGAAATCCTCTGCTCCTTTCTCTGCAATGGTTTCCATGGTTTCTGCAAGTTTGGAAAACTTTACGATGTCGCCTGTGCTCAGAACAGTTTTGTTCTTGTGGCAAAAAATTTCACTGTAAAAAAGAAAAGAAAACACAAACTAAGCAAAAAGGAGAGCAGAGAAAAAGAGACAGAGAGCTGTCAAAACCAAAAACTGATGAAGGGTCAAAGCACTACACCCTATGCATCCTAACAACATTGCACAGCTAAACCGCTTCTGCAAAGAA